ATCAAAATTATAAACCATTGATTCCGCAAAATCAATCTCCCCTTTTTATGATGGCAAACACAATTCAATTTGAATTTTTAAAAAGAATAATTTCTTCTAATCTCCCCTCACTAGAAATAACACTTTTAAAAAATAGGGGAGATGAAAATATTTTTTGTTGGTTATAATATTTTTGAAAATTAAGCATACAGAATAACGGTAACAGTCAACAAATTCAACAATATGTTCTCCCCCTACATTATCAAAAAGAGAGGAGGCACAAAATAAAAGAAAATGAATAAAAAAAAAAATGTTTCCTGATCTAGTGAAAAATAAATATTCTTAAAATGAGAAAGTTACCTCTTGGTTTTAATCAAAAAATTTAGTATATAATTGGATTGACAACGCATAAGTCCAGAAAAGATTGAAGAATTCATAATTTGAAATAATCCAACTCAAGTTCTTTAAAAAGGCAAAAACTTTTTGATTCAAGACTAAATCAAGAAAAAAATTAGAAAGAAAAAATAACAATAATTTTTCAAAAACTCCTTCCCTAAATATATCTAATAGAAGATCAATGCATAAATTTTTTAATCAAGAATCAAGATTTCTCAAACTCAAGTATCGAAAGTATCAAGGTTTTCTTAAGCTTTTTTAAGAAGTACAAGAATGGTAAGCATTAACTTTGTGGGCTCATTTTATGCCTCTTGACAATTGTTGGCGCACACAATCTTTTGATACACTTTGTGTATTCTATATTTTCAATTTGGCATCTTTGCGAATCTTTTATTTTGGCATCATTGGCCAATTTTTTAATATATTCCTTTCTTAATTCTTAAAAAACAAAGGAAAACCCATCTTAGTGATAAAGCAAATTACTTGATTAAGAAAAATTAGTAGTTAGATTCAAAAATTGCAAAAGATTCCTATACATAAATAAAATGTAGGGAAATAAAAAATTTTGTTTCAAAAAACTAATTATAAAAGATGAAAAAGATTTTAAATCAAAAGTAGGATAACCTTTTTTAGAAAACAGAGACTGAGAGTTAAAAATAAATGAGTTTCCATCCTTTGACTGTTTTAGAGAAGTCAAATACAACTTACCAATGATTTCAAGAAAAAAATAGGAAGTAGATTTCTCATATTTTAGAAAAGTGAATGTGTGTTGATCAGAGAAAAACTTCACGAAAACACATAAAATTTCAAAGATAAACAAAACAAAAACATAAAAATAAAAAAGAAAAACACAAAAACACAACACAAAAACACGAAGGCTCTTAACCATTATCTCTCTCCTGGTCCGATGTTCCAGAGATCAGATCTGCCCATGAGAGTTTTTTGTCTTTCATTATTTCACCAGTTTAAATTTTGCTTCGCCTTACCTCTTTTCTTTTCGTAGGAAAGAATTCTTAATTTAGGCACTGATTTTCATATGTCCAGGCTTCCTACATCAAAAGCAAATAACGTTAAAGGAAATATGGACATCCTTATCATTTACCTATTCCACTTTTGCTTATGCTTTGGTGAGCTTTGTGATTTGCTTGACAAGTCATTGCATTCGTCACCAAACTAAGCAATCTTTTCCGTATCTCAGCTTTTAGAAAAATCGTTTCACCTGCATCCAAAATCTTTGACCCACTCTTTGCTCGTAAGCAATGAGTGAGCCATCAAATTATCAATAGAATAATCATTCAAATCTTTTGATTCACAAAAATGCAACAACTTGCATCAAATTTTTCAAGTAAAACAACGAAGAATTTATTGACTTTTTCAAATTTGAAAACTCTTTTCCTAAGGCATGCAATGATGTTACAATTTGAATGAACCTAGTGTACATGTTTAAGATTGTCTCATAAGGTTTCATGGAAAATAATTCAAAATCATGCATTAACAAATTCAATTTGGATTGCTTGAATTCACTAGTGCCTTCGTATATTGGTGTGCAATTTATCCCAAACTTCCTTACCGGTAGTGCATACGTGGATATAATCATAAAAATCATCAGAATTTAAAGCACAGAAAAAGCAATTTAAAGACTTTGCATTCAATTTGAGCATTGAGTTGTTCTTTCCCTTATTTCATTGACTAAAAGGAATTATCAATTTTAACTCTATTAACAATTCATGACGGTGATGAATAACCAGTTAAAATCATATATGCCACATACGAAAATCTATCGATTGCAAGAAAATAGACTGCGAGTTTTCCAAAAAATCAAATGACATATTTTCAAATAAAAGAGGTCTGGTGATTGAATAACCTTCCGCAACATTACGATTAGCCATGGATCAAAAAATTCAGAAGTTTTAAAAACTATTTTATAGACCTGCCTCTGATACCTATGAAAGTGCTCAGATGATACTAGAAAGTGCTCTGAAATCACATTGAAAGTTCGTTAGGATGTTATAGATGCTAACCCTTATATGAATTGGCCCAAGGCTAACAAAGAAAGACGGTGATAATTGGATATACTTTTAAACTCAAAAGTTAAACTCAAATCAAAATCACCACATAAGAGAATCAACAAAAAATCAAATCGGTGGAAATAAAATAATTGGAAGCAATAATAAGAAAAGAACACACTGGATTTATAGTGGTTCGGCTACAACAACTTGACCTAACGTCCACATCCTCGGAGAGCACCTCCAGTATTCAGCTAAACAAGTGTCTCTCCTTTAGCCCCCACAGATGAGTCCCTTACAAAATCACTTCCACCTTCCCCCGTGCGGAGAGTCGTCGGGTCCTTTGACACCAATAGAGATCTTCTTGCTTTGGTGAACTTACCTCAGACAAGCCTTGAATCCGATGGTACTAAATGGTGCGAGTTCGGCTGGAGTAATCGTGTGGATCCCCCACCACACTCTCTGAGTTTCTCCCCCTCACAGGATCTTCTCCCTCTCAAACTCCACCCTTTCTCTCTCCCTTTCAAGCCTCTCTCTTCAAAATTTCGCACAAGAACGAAGCTACAATGACTGCCAAAAGACACTTACAAAGTGTCATGCAAAAGCTTAAATAGAAGAGCTAAAAACGAGCTCATTAATGCAAGTTGCCAACATTATCGTCCAGGACGATAGGTATATCGTCCTGGCCGATCAGTACAAATTCAGCTCATCAGCCCGGGACGATTTGGGTTCGATCAGAAAAAAATTGGTTACATCGTCCTGGCCGATATCACGATCGTCCAGGCCGATTAGTTTAAAACCGATTTAAATCGTCCTGATCATCGTCCTGAATTCGAGCTATCCGATGTAGATCATCCAGGACATCATCCCGGCCGATCAGGCGATCGTCCCGGCCGATGTGATCGTCGTATCAATAAACCATTAATGCTTTCCAAAGATACAAGACTAATTTAGCATAATTGAGTTAGATCGTCACTGGACGATATAAATGCCAATTTCCTAAAACAAAGAATTCCTAACTGATTATGGCGGTTTTATATCTTTCTTAATTAAGACTATCGTCCTGGCTTAATACATGTATCGTCTGAGGCCGATATCAATGAGGCTACCTAATGCTGAAGTTCCTGCATTTTGCATTAAAATGAAATAAAGCTATTACAATCTATCATCAAAGTAAAGCTATACCCTATCACTCTCCTCCCTCAACAAAGACAACAATGTTGAGGGGAATTCACTATTATTCACATCAAGAAAAGTAAACTCATTCTCTAAAGCAAGGTGGGCACAAAAGTCAGCCACACGATTGCTGTTTCTATGTGTATATTGAAAAAGAACCTGTTTAAACTCCTGAAGAAAGGATGTATCCGGTCCTGTCACCCGACGATGGATCACATGCTGGCGATCATTCAGCCTCTGCAGCCACCTGATTGCATTAATACAATCACCTTCTATGATAATTCCATCCAGCTCAAACATCCAATCCATGAAAACCTCACGGATTGCCATTGCTGCCAACATTTCTGCCTGCAAAACATCCCAGTGCTCTATTCTTCTGCCCGCAGCAACCACCAACTTCCCATAATGATTCCGAGCAATAACACCCAAGCCAACCTGATTCGAAGGGAGGAGAGCTGCATCAAAATTGAATTTCAGCCAACCTGGAGGGGGAGGGCACCAAAGCTTGTGAGACGGCAACCCCAAGGGTTGATTAGTGCCCCATTGCTCCAGCATTGGCCATTTAAATGGTTTTGGCAGCAAAGAGAGAACCGCAGCAGCAATAACAGAAGGTGATCTACACATATTATGGTGCTTCATATCATTCCGGGCTCTCCACACTTGATATACTGTATAACAGTAAATCCTTCCCATGCTAGGATTATTCTCAGCATACTTCAGCAATTCAGCCTTTAGATCCAACAGGGAATTAACAATGGGCAAATTAAACCCCCATTTGCAAAGAATTTCCATCACCTGCTTCAACTTAGTGCACCTGGCCGAGCAATGATCTAAATTCTCCTCCTCATTACATCCCCAAGGGCATAGAGATGTATCAGCTAAAGTTCTTCTATTCAACCAGTGAGTGGTTGGAATGGCATCCCTCAATAGTCTCCACCAAAAGAAATGTTCCCGTGGGTGCAGTTTCAGTTACTTCAACCAACTGAATTCATAGTTCCCTTTCTCCTCACTATCTCTATAAGCCATTGCCGCAACTGTCATACTCAACCTGGAATAGATGAGCTCCGGGTTATCCTCCTGACTCTCAGTGGAGATATTAATAGCTAAGATACGTTCAGCCATAGTATTCCCAAAACAATGCTTAACCATCTCTACATTCCACTGAAACGAGTTATTCAGCGAGTTACAGACCTTCATATTTTCCACTTCTTCAATGTTAACAAATGTTGGCCACTTAGCGATATTACGATTCATAATCCACACATCATGCATCACATCTATTTGGCTTCCATCCATAATGTTCCACCTAAGGATCGGTCTCATCACCTTAGCACCATCTTGGATCACCTTCCAAGTAACAGAGACTTTCTTCCCATGATCATATTCCCATATCTTCATACCATACCTTGCCATCAACACCTTGTAAAGAATAGAATCCTTATTCTAAATGAGATCCCACACCACCCGTGCACGCAAGGCCCCCTTCCACCGAGTAAGACAATGAAAGCCAAGCCCCCCAAACTCCATCGGTTGGCACAATTCCTTCCACCCAACATAATGCATCCTACGGCTGCTAGCATCTTTCTGGCATAAAAACCGACTCCCCATTTTTTCAATAGCCATAAGAACTCCATTAGGAATAGAAGTATGGGTCATAGCATACATAGGAACAATGAAGTTCTAACCAAGAGAGCCCTGCCAGCAAGTGAAAGATGTTTTCTGCCCCAGAGGTTGATCTTCTCAAATGCAATTCTCATAATTTTGGAGAAATCAGCCCCATTCAGCCTCCTCATGACAAGAGGAAGGCCAAGATATTCCAGGGAATCAACCTTTTTATATCCCATCATTCTAGCAATCATCCTCTTCCTCCAACTTGGGCACTTTCTGTTAAAAAGAATAGTAGACTTGCCATAATTAATCTTCTATCCAGTCCAGCAGCAATAGTCTCCCAATATATCCATAATCCGACGGGCATTGCACCTGCTGGCTTCTGCAAAAACAAGGATATCATCAGCGTACAGCAAGTGAGAAATACTTATTGTGTTCCTAGCCACCTGGACACCAAGCTGCACTCCACGCTGTTTAAAAGATTTGGACAGAAGCTCAGAGTAAAGGATAAACAAATACGGCGACAAGGGACATCCTTGTCACAGCCCACTCTTAGCATCAATCCACCTTGTCCTGTTCCCATTCATCAGCAAAGTGAACTTTGGCTGAAAAATACACTACATAACCCAAGTGATAAATCTCTTCTTGAAGCCCATCAAATTCATAACTTCCTGCAGTGTTTCCCATGACATACAATCGTACGCCTGCTCCATATCAATCTTCAAATCCATAAGTCCAGATTTCTGGTTAGAGTACTTAAACTTACTCATCATTTCCTGTGCCATCAGCCCATGACTGGATATAGATCGACCTGGAACAAAAGCTCCCTGCTCCTCACTGATGATAGTGCTCAACACAGGTTTTAGGCGATTAATCAATACTTTAGCAACAATCTTATAAAAAGATTGACATAAACTTATCGGCCTAAACTTTGATGGCATATTAGCATTCTCCTTTTTTGGAATTAACACCACAAGGGTTTCCTTCCAACTCTGGCACATCACATTAGTGGAAAAAAAATGCAGAATAACACTAATCACGTCTTTCTTTATAATCTCCCAATAAAATTTCAAAAAGGAAGAGGTTATACCGTCAATCCCTGGCGCTCTGCTACTGCCCATACTAAACACTGCTTGACGGATTTCAGACTCAGTAATTTCAGCCTCCATACTATCACTGAACTGCACAGGAATCATATCATGGTTACCAAATTCATGCCAATTAGCCAGGGAAACCTGCCTGTCTCTCCACTTCAGCATGAAGAAATTCCAAAATTCCTCCTGAATGAGATTCGGATCAACAATCCTCTCCCCATTAGAATTTACAACTTCTATGATACGATTACCTCGCCTCCGAGCAGACGCAAAGGAATGGAAAAAATGCAAGTTTGTATCACCTTCATCAATCCATCTGGCTTTCGCTCTCTGCTTCCACCAGGTTGCAAGCCGAGCTAGAGTAGTGTTCAACTCAATTGCCTTCAATCTGAGCTCTTGTTCATGTTCCTCATTCAGCCCATTAGGAGAGCAATCCACCAGTTGAAGCTCCTCAATACGGCTTTCTAGAGAAATTTTCAGCTCATTAAGTTCTTTCAGTTGGTTACGACTCCAAAAGAATAAAGCCTTCATAGTTCTGCTGCACTTGCGATTCACCACCTCATCAGGCATTCCAAAGTCCTCCGTGTTCCAATTCTTCCAAACAAGCCTCCAAGTGACAGGGTAAGTCATCCATATATCTTCAAATCGTATCCATCTGTTCCCAGGTCTCGGTTTCTCAGCAAAAAGGTTCACCATCAACGGACAATGGTCTGAAGTCAGCCGAACCAAATGTTTAACAGCTGCAACCGATGCCTATCTCAGTCCTTCATAATTCATAAGAATTCTATCAAGCCTCACCCAAATCTTGCTTAGCCCAGATTTATTATTAGACCATGTATATTTGGGACCCAAAAATCCTAAATCATGTAGATCATTATCTACCATGAACTGAGCCATCTCCTGAGCCCCCACTGAGAAATTAAATCTCCTCCCACCCTTGTTCTCGCTTTGGTTTAAACAGCAATTGAAATCTCCCTCCACAATCACAGGGAGATCAGAACAAACCAGCGGACTAATAGTATTCAACAGCAACCATCTGCTATGATAACTTTTACTAGCATATACCACAGCAACCGTCCACGTTTGCATATTAGGGAAAGTAAGATTCCCAATAAGCACCTGCTCCATGTTGCCAATAACTTCAAACTTAGAAACATTCTTCTTCCACAAGGCAATCAAACCTCCATATCGACCATTCGCAGGGGAATAAAAAAATTCCCATTCATTCCCAATCAAACGATCTACCTCCAGTCTACTCATGTCCATCACCATGGTTTCAACCAGTCTCACAAAACAAACCTCATTGTTACCAACGAGGCTGCGCAGGTAATAGCCCGTCTGTTTCTTTCGGGCTCCCCTGCAGTTCCATATCAGGATTGATGACATTAAAAAACAAATGGGGAAGCGTCCCCACCACCAGAATCAATAGGAGAATCCTCTCCACCATTAGTGATGTCTGTCATTTCCTTCCTCCTTTTCCTTGAAAACTCCGTAATAGGTCCCAATTGACTAAGTTCTTTAATAAACTTAAATCGATTGGTTCTTGGCAAGGGAAGTGGCATACATGCCGTGAAGGGTAAAGGTTTCTTAAATCCCATCATGTTCTGCTTATGAGTAGGTCTCAGAGTGCTCTGAGGAGCTTCAACCTTCCCCAAATCAACTTGTTTGGAATTACTCTGTAATTGTCTATTGTTGTTACCAACAAAATTCCTCCCAGAAGGTCTCATATTCCTTCTTCGTCGAGGGGGAACCTGAATCCACGGTCCCACCTCCTCATCATTCTCCTGATCACATTCCTTCCCAATGGAAGTTCCGGCAATAGCTCCCTGCTTAACATCCTTCCCTCCTTCCATAATTCTGCTGTCTCCCCCCTTGCTATGACCACCTCCTTCAATTTTGATCACAGGATGAGTAACTGTCTTGGTTTGCACCTTCTCAGCTCGCTCAATCCTTCCTGAGGATTGCTCGGGGTTCTTCACCATTGGCTCACTCTGTTTCAACTGCTCTCCTGCCTTCCTCATTCCGACATCCCCATGACCACCATCCTTCAAAGGACAATGATCCCTCCAATGGCCAATTTTACCACAGCCGAAGCACATAATGCCAATGCCTTCGTATTCCACCTTCTGATAAAACCTCCCGTTCCATCCATTGACCCACACTCCCGCCTGGAGTTTATTTGCCAAATTCATCCGCACACATACCCGAGCATACTCTCTTCTTCCACAATTTGCTGTCAATGCATCAATCCATAAAGGAGTACCGATCTTCGTGGTGATCCGAGCAATGTTGCATTCATCCCAATATTGCAATGGGAGATTGGGTAATCGTATCCAAACCGGAGACGACAATCCCTCCATAGAAGCAGGGGAGAAATTGGGTGTCCACCTATCCAATCCCACCAGATTGCCACCAATAAACCAGGGGCCGCCCCTTAGCACTTCATTTCTAGCTTCCACATAAGTAAAAATACATATAAAGCAATCCGCACCCAAAGAGGTGAGCTGAAACTCTCTAAACCTTCCCCATTGTCTTTGGATCTCATATTTCAACAAGAAGAACGAAGCTCTTCTACCTAGAATCTTCCCCACCACTGCTCGGTCAAGCATCTCCATGTTAGCTCTAACTCTGTCCAAGTTCAGATCAATGGAGATCCCGTCTCTTGAAATAGCATTGAAATCTTCCGGGTGCAGGATCGGGACATGATCCGGCTTATTCCATGGATTCCCCATACTAGCCGCAAATGAAACTCTCGGGGTCACCCCCTTCCCAAGGTTCTCCCCGCAGTTTACATTTGATTGTCCAACATCAACATTCCCACAAGCGTATGACGTGCATCCAATTGGCTTGCTCAAACCAGAGGAGCTGCTCCCTTCTCCGATCACACCTACAACATCTTATACAGATACCTCCATTTCTGTCACCGCCATTCCTTCCTCCACAGAAGCATCAATCATCACCTTATTATTCCAATCAACAACATCCGCACTCACCTCCATCAGACATTTCCGTCCCGGCATTGCAGCATTCACATCAAATGTTTCTTCCATAGCTTCACCGCTATCCTCGATCAGAGCTGTGTCTTCAACTTCCATAGAAGAGGCCGACGCAATGAACATCGGGTTGAGTTTCAAACTCACACCTGATTTTGATTCCAGCTCCATCGTCTCCCTCTGAGGAGGATCCTCCCTCTTAGCTCCATCAGCTTTGTTCTGGTCCGATCCATTCTTCCCGATCTGTAGAATCCCTTTATGATCCATATTTCTCGATTTCACTTCCCATCGACCTTCCACCGATCCCTCCGATCCAGATTTTACAGCTTCCCGAGCTTTCCCTCTCGTCTTAGCCATCACAGGTTTGCTGGGAGATCCAGCTCCCGATCGATCGCCTTGCTTCTTAGAACCGCCAGATCCCACTCCCGATCGTCGTCGCTCTTCACCGCTAGTCGCTCCGTCACCACCGCCCCCGCTTGAGCGGGGAGGAGACCTTCGGTCGCCCCCCGCCATCCCCAAAGCTTCTCTCACTACAAATCGCCTAGAGAGAGAAAATGTCGGGCGGAAATAACGCTTAGGCTACCTTAATGAGGATGCCCTAATTAGGGTTTCTGATTTTGGACATATCGTCTAGGACGATATAAATATCGTCCCGGCCGATATTACCAAAAATAGAAATCTTATAGGGAACAACAGGAAATCTTCCAAGTTACAAATCAACAGATCCCACACCAAATACAACAGACTCAAGAAAGGAAAAAGGTTACAAACTGACACAGACCTATTCTAACCAATCTTGAGCTGGTTCGAAATTGCAGTCTGATCGTGTGAACCTGAAACGTTAGCACAAAAGGCAATCGTTGAGAAATAAGGAATGTTTTCTATCATCAAAATCATAAACCATTAATCCGCAACACTGACTACTAGCTAACTTTATATAGTGTTTAATGTTTATCTCTATGCTAGATTTCAAGCTGATCCTAAACAATCCCACCTGATTGTAGTTAAGAGAATCCTTAGATATATCTTAAGGACTCAAAATTTTGGAATCTGGTATCTTAGACACATCATTTCTTTTGAGATTATTGGGTATTTTGAATCCAATTTTGCAGGGTGTATGGTGGATAAAAGGAACACTTCTGGTACTTGCCAATTCATAGGACAACCCTTAGTCTCCTGATCTAGTAGAAAACAAATCTCTATTGTACTTTCCATTGTTAAAGCTGAGTACAATGCCTTAGGAAGTTGTGTGGCCCAAGTCCTTTAGTTGAAGCAACAAATTTTGGATTTAGAATTACCTGTATGCACAATTTCAATCCTTTGTGATAACACTAGTATCATATGCATCTCTAAGAATCATATCCAACATTCAAGGATCAAACACATTGACATAAGGCATCACTTTACTAGAAACCATGTTACCAAAGGAGACATTAAGTTACACCATCTAGCAACTGAGAATCAACTGGCTAACATCTTTACTAAACCACTGGCCTTTGACACATTTAGCATCTTAAGGACCAGATTGGGTGTGATTGATATAAATGCATGAACTTGATGCTTATTGAATTCTAAATTTTATTTTTTTTCTGTTCTGTTGTTTGTTGTTATTTTTTTTCTTTCTTTTGTTTCTAACTTTTCTTTGTTTTTTTAGTTTTAGTTGTTAATTTTTATTATTTTTCATGCTTTCATTTCTATTATTTCAGTTTTCACCTTTTTTTTTCTTTTTTCTTTTTTCTTTTGGTCAATGCTGAAATGATATTTTATTCCTTATTTTTTATTTTCAAAAATTTGTAGTATATGTTTGACATCCCTAAATCAGTTAAAAGGAGAAACACTATTAATTATTTTCCTTTCTCTAACTTCTTTTTGCAGTGTAATTTTCTTTTCTAAATAAAAGTTTATCTCAAATTAATAACTGGACTTTACGATTGAGAACTTTTTTATCTTATTATAGTAATCAATCTTATATAAATAATATTCAAATTTATTAAATCACTTTTAAGTTTTTGTAATCTTGTCAATGCATTTATCAAATGATGTTGATTTTGCTTTGTAGTTTACTCTTTCTTATACTAGAGAGTGAGTTTTTTTCTCTATTATCTGAAAGATATTATCACAACTGAGAGTATTTAAAAGTTTTAAAAGGCATCTAGCTTGCAAAAATAATAAGATGCATAAAATGAGCCCAAAAAGAAGAAAATCTAAAAAGATAAGCAATGATCACCAAAAAAATAGAAAGATACACAAAGTGTATCAAAAAATAAAAGATGCAGAAAGTGTTCCAACTAATTGACAAGAGGTACAAAATGAGCCCACAATAAAGCAAGCTTCATTATCTTTCAAACTTTTAAATCTTACAAGAATTCATCTGTTGCTAGATATTTTCAAAGGCTTGATTTTAAAATTCATGATTGTGACTAATTACTTTGGTATATTATTCTATAAGATATTTTTCTAGAACCAAGTTTTGAATGGATCACTTTTTTTTTATCCAGAGTTAGATCTTTATTTTCAAAATATGGTTTGTCCTGTAAGAAGTCCGACCTAAGGTTAACAGGATTGGTTTTTCTTCCATTTTTCGAATTTCGATGATGTTAACTCATTTTCTTATAAAATTTTAATTCACTCACATGGACAATTTATTATATTCATGTTTTGATCAAAACAAACTTTGTTTTAGCTCTTTTTATAAGTTTTATCATCTTTTTTGTTATTTTATTTTTTATTTTTCACTATTTTTTCTTATTTTTGGAGCCTTCTCTAATCACCTCCATCCATCCACAAAATTTCATTTTTTTTGTCATATCATCATGGTCGATATTCCTATTATCTTGGATGATATATTCAATCCACCCTTGTTCATTCATATGACGGCTGATATGATTCAATCATTTTAGACTGCCCTGAAGATACCCATCATCCCAGATGATTTGATCAAATCTTGCTCAATTATCTGTGATCATTCTGGATGAACCACATCATCCTGACCGATCTAATCAAATTTTGCCTCAATTATTTATGATCGTTCTAGACGATCCACCTATTTATCCTAGACGATCCACATGGCAAAGATGTTACATGTTTTAAATTCAGCTAGTACGATTCATTATTATCGATCATCTTGGACAATCCACTTAATTGTCCTGGATGATCTATTTTTTCAACAGTCGTCTGGCTTGACTCCTCGGGATGATCGTTGTGTCTAATTGTCTCGAATGATGTCTGATCGTTCTGAATGATATAACTTTTTAACTAATCATCCTAGATGTCATAATTTTTTTGAATCGTCCTGGATGATATGCATGTTTCTTTATAAATAGTAGAATTCAAGGTGTTTTAGCACCTCAAACCCTTCACTTCTTCATTCTTCTCCCTCAAGCTTGAATTTTCTTATTCATGGCAGGTAGCAAGTGCTCCAGAATGCTAGCTAGAAGTTCTTTGAGGGCCACTGTTGACCCTCATTTCACTAAGGTGGCTGACCAAGCATCCTATCTTTGCTACAAGATAATCAGGATCACTCTTTCTAGGACTGTCAACACTTATACGTTTACTTATCCTGTAATTAATTTTTTTGCTAACACCTCCCTCACGTTCATCCTTACCCTCGCCTTCCCCTTCAATTCTGAACTATTTTTTGAATTTTTTGCAAGCCTTTAGATAAACTCCTCTTACATTGCTCTTCAATCATATGTAAATAAATGCCTTATTGAAATTAACTATCAAGAATGCCACGAACTCCTCCAATTATCCACTGCTGGAAACAAGCTTCACCTCTTGTCTCAAGATCCTGATTATGAATGGGCTACTACCAATCACCTTTTGAGAAACACTCTTATCTCCTATCATGATGGGGCATTTAGCACCTTAGTCAAAGATGCTAGGATAATCCAACATGTACGTGGAACATTAGTTATTTTCAAAGCTGGTGATCATGCCCACGTCACTCCTCTCCTTTTAATCACCAACTTTTATATCATGGCCCATAGGAAATTCAAGGCTACTGATTTTCTTTTTTGTTACATTGAGCATCTCACTAGCATTAGGGATCCAGGGCATAGAAGGAATCCTAACCTTGCCTTAGGACACATCATAGCCTATATTCTAGAAACCAAGTTCAATTATCAATATCATGCCCCACTTAACTTTTAGCCTGCCTTCTACACCAACAGCTCCATCTACGTTCTTCACAATACTCGTCTCTACCTGGATTATCTGGTGGAGCGATTCAACTAGTGGGAGGTCAGGTTTGACTCTTACGTTGTTGTACAGGAGCAGCATTATGCGAAGGATGTCACTAGATTTGATCCTTACATGACTCACCAGTAGCAGTAGCACGACAAGGATATGGTCTGGTTTGGGGAGCAGTTCGTTGTTATTTATAGCTTCTTTCAGCCGCCACCATCACCTCCTTCTAATGATCAGAGCCCATCATACTTATAGTTTATTTTTCTTATGTTATTTTCTGTGATGTTGTTTATTTCCTTATATTTTTCTTTTTTGGTTTCCTCCTATTTTTGTGATGTTGAAAGGGAGAGTAGTAATAGTGTTTGTGTTGTTTCATTGTACTATCTTTTTTTACTAATTTTATTTAGTGTTTGTACCATATGTTTGATTTTAGTAAAATTTGAATTGCTCGTTTTAATTAACTGCTTATGTTTAACTTTCTACCAATGTTTGTCATCATCAAAAAGGAGGAGATTGTTACAAATCTAGATTCATGGATTATAATTTTGATG